CTGATTTTTGCCAACTTAGTAAATATTGGTCTCAAAATGAGCGTTTCTGCCTAACTGCGCTGCTTTTTTCAAAAATTCATGTTTTCTAAACTGAGCCACGCAGCCATTTGATTTTTTCACCACTGTTAGAAGACGCTTGACTCTAAAAATGCTGCATGTTTCATAAAAATCTCATGAAATCTGGATCTTTGCTAGCTCAGTAAATATCGGTCTCAAAAGGCAAGTTTTGATTCAACAGCACCCTCTCGTTTAAAAATTCGTATCTTCCAGAATAACAGAAGTAGCAATTTGAAATTTTCTAAGTCTGTAGAAGAGCCTTTCCGTTAAAGGTTCTCAAAGTTTTATTGAAATCGCCAGAAATCCTAATTTTTGCCAGCTTAGTAAATATCGGTCTCAAAATGGACGTTTCTACCTAAATGCTCTGCTTTCTTCAAAAATTTATGTTTTCTAAACTGAGCCACACAGGCCTTTGATTTTTTCACAACTTTTAGCAGACACTTTACTCTAAAGATGCTGAAAGTTTCATAAGAATGTCCCTAAATCTTGGTCTTTGCTAGCTCAGTGAATATCGATCTCAAAATGGAAGTTTTGATTCAACAGCACTCTCTCTTTTAAAAATTCGTATCTTCCAGAACTACCGAAGTAGCAATTTGAAATTTTCTAAGCCTGTAGAAGAGTCTTTCCTCTAAAGGTTCTCAAAGCTTTACAGAAATCGCTAGAAATCCTGATTTTTGCCGGCTCAGTAAATATCGGTCTCAAAATGGCCGTTTATACCTAAATGCGCTGCGTTTTTCAAAAATTCATGTTTTCTAAACTGAGCCACGCAGCAATTTGATTTTTTCCCCACTTTTAGAAGACACTTGACTCTAAAGATGCTGAAAGTTTCATAAGAATCTCCCTAAATCTTGGTCTTTGCTAGCTCAGTGAATATCGATCTCAAAATGGAAGTTTTGATTCAACAGCACTCTCTCTTTTAATAATTCGTATCTTCCAGAACTACCGAAGTAGCAATTTGAAATTTTCTAAGCCTGTAGAAGAGTCTTTCCTCTAAAGGTTCTCAAAGCTTTACAGAAATCGCTAGAAATCCTGATTTTTGCCGGCTCAGTAAATATCGGTCTCAAAATGGCC